TTGATGTAACAGTGATGCCATGCCCATTAGTTGTTAATTTTTCATTTTCAATGGCCACCTTTTGTTGCAGCATCCATTCTTCACTTTGATGATATTGAGAAGCGAAAAAAATATGAGACCATTTCGTTTAAGGAAGTTTACAATGAAGTTGTTGAAATCAAGGTGATCCTCCTTCCATAAATTTTCTTGCTTGTAATTGGTACCTTGTTAGTCTATCCTTTTTCTCTGAAGCCTTTGGCCATAGAGACTAGCCTTTTGTACTTGCATCTTACATGAAACCTGCTTTTAAGTTTCCTAATACGTTGACCCATGTTGTTAACATGCATTTGAAAGTTCAAGATTTTTGTAGTTTAAATATTTTCTAGGTACTTGCATGAAAATTGAGTACAAGGAATAAAATGCACTGTTGCAGACTTTTAAGGTAGTCTATGCTAGATAACTGTTGAGCATGCTTTAAAGGATGACTTCCAAGACCCTTATTAACTTGCACACAATATTGTGAAACTGAACTGATTAACAGTCTTGTGTAGAAAAAGTATTATAAATCCCAGATGCTCCTTGTAGTTGTTAGTAATATATCTATGTGTGGATTGAAACTGTTAGATGGTATAAGGTACAAGGCAGACAACATGGTGTTTCCCCTGGCCTTCCTTAGTTCCTTTTTTTATCTGGAAATAGCCATTCTTATTAGTGTTTCATAATCACAGACGAGTTTGCATTCTTGACTTTGGAACTACATGGGATTTCCATCAATGTACACTGGTTTTCAGTTGATTACTTGCAAGGTTTATAGTGATTCCTTCCTACTTATGGAGGTCTATTTCATGATAATTGAACAGGAATTGACAGATCTTCTCAATGCTCCAGTGGTTTTCGCCCATAATGACTTGCTTTCAGGGAATCTGATGCTTAATGACGACGAAGGTGTCAATGAAAACTGATTTTTCATATGCATTTTCCTCCATTTTACCCCTTTATCTGTTTTAATAGAATGGCAGCATGTTATTCTTGGTATTAATATTCTACATTGTTGGTTTCTGTCTTTAAATATGCATTATTTTTACAATCTCTCTATCTCAATTGGTGATGTTTCTGCTCCTTTTCTGATGTATTTCAGTAGCACACACATGTTAAAAGTTACGGATACTAAGGGGATGTTGGCATTATATCTTCTAGCTGTAAACATGGAGAAATCAATCTTGGTTGGTCTTTCAAGAATTGGAGTATTGAACAGGGCCATTGCCAATGAATTTTTTAATCTGTTATTGAATCTAAGTTACATCAAGTGTGGCAGGACAACCTTGAGGTTGTTGAAATTTGGTGTTTTAGGCGGGAACCAGAGTTAGGGTATATGGTTTTGGATTGATTATCCAGAAGATTTGAGGGTAAAGTTAGTTCTGTGAATAGTAACCAAGGTACTAAGAAGACAGAAACAGCACTGGAGAAAAGAGAAGAAACAGTCTAGGCATGCAGCCTTAAAACTAAACAAGATACTCGGTAGTTCCATTATCAAAATGCTTATGATTATGTAAATTATGTGTTCCTTCTATATGCAGCTTGTACCAAAAAGCCTAGTGGTTCGAATCTAAGTAAGAAGTAGAAAACCAAATAGGAAAAAGGAAATGATAATTAATGGAAGATTGTCTATTATTTAAAATTATTACAAGAACATGGGTGTGTCTCTGCCATCTGCCATCATTATAGCTTCCAATCTGTCCAAAATGTTAAGAGGCAAACAGACTTTGAAAATGCAGTGAGATTTCCCGAGACAGTGCCTGATGTGTTTACAAGAAATATTGTGCCAAAAGAGTGTTTTAGTTTGCAGATATTTTTTCCTCATTCTTGTACTATTGATCTCATTATTGATCTTATTAATTTTCAGAGAAACTCTACATCATTGATTTCGAGTATGGATCATACAGTTACAGAGGTTATGACATTGGAAATCACTTCAATGAATATGCAGGCTATGATTGTGACTACAGCTTGTATGTCTTCAATTTTTCTCCTTCTTGTTTTCTCCACTTTCAGTTGCATGTGTAGATTTGTTGACAATTGAATTCGTTTAATGTAGATACCCAAGTAAGGATGAGCAATATCATTTCTTCAGGCATTATTTGCAACCTGATAAACCGCATCAGGTACGATGGTCATTTGAAAATTACTTTTTCAATGGTATGTAAATGGACTTTTTAGTTTATATATGACCTGCATTAAAAACCTTTTAATTCTGAATTATTGATTTTGTTGGTTATGTTCAAATCCTGAATGAGTTAACTAACAGGATCGAATTCCTTACTAAGCAAACATAGAAATGCAACCATGATATATGTCTTTATCATAAGTTTTGGTTTTGATCAAGTGTCATCCTCAATTGCACTTTTAAAAAAAGGAGTGGAATCTCCTTTGCGGAAATCTTCTGACATGTGTGTCACCTTTATTTATTTGATCTATGCTATGCAGCTCTTCCATAATTTAGATGATGCAAGAGGTGTTAAATGGGAACATACAAAAACAATTTCCCTAAATGATCATATGTTAAATCCCAATGTAGCCTTTCTTCATTCTTGTATCATTTTTCCGTTGAACATTTTGTGTGCCTTCATTTGATGCCTAACCCTACCTTGTGAGGTTTCACTGCTAGCACCATGGATGTTTAATCTTTGTTTTTAAATGAATAATTGATACTTAATCTTGCTCTTTCTCTTGTGATTTTGCTACAAAGATCGTCTACTTGTGAGCAAACCTTTCTTCCTTGACTCATTTTAGATGAATACTGGCATGGGAAGTTGAATTTTATTGATTATGAAGTTCACCTGTTACTTTGATCTTGAATCTTGGATCTTCATTAGTAGTTCATACTTCACTGGGCTAGATATGTCTGATAGCAGGGTCTAGATACACCTGACCCCATAAATCTATTCAAACTGCATCCACCTGTGATTTTTAAGTTTTGGATTTCAAGGCACTACAATTGGCTATTATTTCCACCAGGTATCTGACAGATCATGAATTCCTACAGGTATCGGACAAAGACCTTGAAGCTCTATACGTAGAGACAAACACTTACATGTTAGTTTCACACTTATTTTGGGCTTTATGGGCACTAATCCAGGTAATTATGACCCGTTATCTCAACCAGCCATGCCCACTAAACCATATGATAGTGATTGATAATGTTTCTATTAACAGGCCAAGATGTCTCCGATAGATTTTGATTATCTGGGTTATTTCTTCCTGCGATACAATGAATTCAAAAGGCAGAAGGAACAAGCTTGTTCATTGGCACGATCTTACCTCTCAGGACGAGAGAGTCGGTAGTTTCTATTTTTCCCTCCTATGCATTGCAAGCACTCTTCATATGGATTCATAGGCAAACATTCTTGTATTTTTTTTTTCTTAGCCATTTGAAAGAAAAGTTGAAAAACGAGTATATGCGAATAATTGAGAGGAAGGATGGATTCCTCAGTTCCATTTGTTGTAATTCTTAGTCTTAGTGCATTTCTTCAATAACAACCTAGCTGTCTTTTGCCTAAGATACATTAGTTTAGGGTATCAATGAAATATCAGTTGGTTGAAATATATTTCAATTCATCTTCCTCTTCCTGTATTTCTTCAGTGTGCTGATAATTGCTAGGCTTCAAAGCTGCACACCTTCAAACCCATTACATAGATTAACTCTGTTAATGACAGCGCCACAAAATTGCTAACAATTGTTTCGATGTAAAAATTGAATTAATTTTTTTAGTATTTTTGAATCATAGATATTAAAAATAACTTTAAAAAATATTATTTTAATATATTTTTAAATAAAAAACACTTTAAAAAATATTTTTTATTATAATTTCAAATATGTCTAAAATAAATAACTAGTCGCCAATATATGCTTGAGTCAAATTTCTAAATGATAAACTTTAATGTTTAATTATCTCTATGTTCATAAACAAGAGATAAAAAAATCCTTTAAAATCATAAACATAGAAGTACCACGAACAAATTAAAAATTACCTCTTATGCGAATAAAAGGTGTTATTTAGCTATCTATTTAAACTAATTAAAAGGCTAGGAAAAAGATTGGACTTATATTAAGAATTACGTGGCGAGCTCCATTATTATTATTATTATTAAAAAAAAAAAAGGAATTAAGCGGCGCTAGGTTTTCATAATTTGCGCTAGAGATTTATACTCTCCTTCATTCATAATTAGGAATCATTCAATATTTACCATCATTTCCCATTTATTTTGCAAATAAAGTAAGATAAGTCGATTTAAAAGAAAAACATGTTTAGACTAAATTAATTAATAAAAAATATATATTCATACTCACAATTCGACTGAGAATATATATAGTTACTCAATCCTGTCTATATAATTAAAAAGACTTGGATTTTCTGCAAGCTTAAAGGGACATTTTAAACATCGAATTCAAACCAAGAAAAATAATTTAAGTTCATTCTGAGGTCTTGTAAATAATTAATATTCTGAGAAAAAGAGAGGCCAAATGATTGCTTATAATAATAAATAAATAAATAAAAAGAGAAGAAAGAGAAAGGGAGGGAGACCTTTTCCTTCCTAAAAGTACAAGAACAGTTTATCGCGTGTGGCACGCTAGCAATAGCATTATTGAGTCAATTAAACCAAATTATAAGTTAGAGGAAAACTGCCCAGTATAATTTATTTTCGGCTAAATCAAGTGGAACTAGTCAAAGTCAAGCCAGCGTTACACGCAGCAATGAGAGACCTGCCGCCATAAGCAATACCAGTTTAATTTGAAAGAATATTAAGGTATTTTTTTGTAAATTTATTTTTAATATTAGTGTATTAAATTAAAACGATATAAAAACATTTAAAAAATAAAATAA